CAGAAAAAAACTTAAAACTTATGTCTAAAAATGTATCGTTTCATGCATCTTAAAACACTCGACTCCAGCTACATGACGCGCAGCTGGAAACACTTCCCGCAAGACGAGCTGCCCGAGATTCACAGAATTTACAGAAAATGTTACATTTTTGTGATTTATATCGTTATCGGGACGATAGAATTCTTATATCGGGATATGAGATTTTGGTCATATCGCACAGCCCTACTTCATGACATTTAAAGCTTCCTTTCTATGTAACCTCAATATTCCCATCAGTTTCCCCCTAAATATTTTATTATACAAGTTGTACTGATGAAAATACACAACAGATCATATTTTTTCTTTCTTTTGTTTTGCTTTGAGAACGAGCTGGCTATTCACAGTGAAAATCTTGTCCAACAGGTACAGCTGGGTCTGCCAGCATTTGGGTTGTACGTGAAGGAGAGGATCTTTCACTTTATAATCTTTTCACTGTGTCTGGAAACACAAAGTTCTTCTGCAAGGAAAAATGTGAGCGAGCAGAAAACATCCTCATTAAAACAGATGAAACCACAGCTCAGAGCGGCAGATACAGCATTAAATACAAAGATGCAGCTTCAGGAAGAGGAAGCCTGACTTTTACCATCACAAATATGAGAAAGTCTGACTCAGGAATGTACCGGTTTGGTTTGGGTAAATCTTCAGCTCCAGATTCATACTCAGACTTTGAGGTCAGAGTTTCAAATGGTGAGTTTCTACTAAAAGTTACTAAAGTCAAAATTGGGAAACCAATCACCTACTCTCATACCTCCATAAACTCTCAGGCCAAATACAGTCCTATTTAAACTCAGTCACTTTATGTATTTATTATATAATTCATGGATGTTCATCTATTTAACAGAAATTGCTAAAAACTCTAGAGTCTCCCGTGCACAGAGTGAGGGAGAAGAAATCTCATTTCCATGTGCCACTGCTGTCCAGGCACAGAGGAAGTTCCTTTGTAAGAATCCGTGTGAGAAAGAAGGAAATATCTTCATTGACACAACTAATGACAAAGTTCAGAATGGCAGGTACAGCATTGAATACACAAAAGGATCTGGGTTTGAACTTCTAGCAACCATCAGACATCTGACCAAGTCTGACACGGGACAGTACAGGTGTGGTTACGGGGACCCTTTATCTCCTGATTCATATGACACTGAAATTATTTTGGTTGTAGATGGTAAGTTTCTTTTCATAATAATAACAATTCTTGATATGTTCATCCTACAGCTTGTTGTTAAAATCTTGCAAATTAGGGATTAGATTAAAGTTCATAGTAAAAGATGCCAGTCTTTCTACAATTCTCTCTGTTTTGTCCTTTTTCTGCCCGTTCTTTCCAGCACTGTAGCAATCAGAATTATTGTTTGAAGACCAGGAAAAATGCCCAACAGATTTATTTTACCAAGTGGACCATCCTGGCTTTTGATATACTGGTAGATGGTCAGGTGGCCAGGAGAGGAAAGAGGTGCAGTGCTTTCCCTGCACCTGTAAATTGTTATTATAATTTTTTAATTATGATTAAAATAATCCCACTATTGTCCTCTCTCACCTATTCACAGACATTTGGGACATTATTGGACACAATATTGATTGTAATTGGGTCTTTTTCAGTTACGTTGTTAAATATATATGCCCCCCCTGGAAGCGATATTTATTTCTTTAAGAAAATTATAGACATGATGGTAACAGAGACAGTAGGTTTTCTAATTTGCGGAGGAGATTTAAATATACATCTACAACCAAAGCTAGATATTTCCAATAGAAAAGCACAGAATACTAAAACATTAATTAAGAATATAAATACATTGATGAAGGAGGTGGGACTAATTGATATATGGAGAGACTTGCATCCCTACCAAAGGGATTATACTTATTTTTCCTCACCGCACTTGTTATACACAAGAATAGATTATTTCATAACTTTTGGGAAAAATAAAGATAAAATAAACACTTGTGAAATTGGAGCAATAGACTTAAGCGATCATGCACCAGTATACCTGTCCGTTGATTTAAACCTGCAACCAAAACTCAATAATTGGAAATTAAATTCAAGCTTACTGAATGATCCTCACTTTAAAGGACAAATTAAGAAAGAGATTCACTTCTATATGGAAACTAATGACAATGGTGAGGTGTCTCCTCCTATACTGTGGGATGCCTTTAAAGCTGTCCTGAGAGGGAAAATTATAGCAATATCCTCTTATAAGAAAAAGATGAGAAATAAGAAATTAGAAGAGCTACAAAATAAGTTAGAAGAATTAGAGAAAAGGCATAAAAGAAAAACATCTCAGGATATATTGGAGGAAATTAGGAAAACAAGAAATGAAATAAATGATTTGACCACATATGAAATTTAAAAAAAATTAATGTTTCTTATACAAAGGTATTATGAGGGAGGATCAAAAGCAATGAATGTATTAGCCTGAAACTAAAAAAGAAAATAGCAGATAATACAGTTCACAAATTAAACATCCAGTGACAAAACTAATAAAAAATAAACCAATAGAAGTTCAGAGTGCATTTGAAACATTTTATAAGACTCTTTATGCTAATAACACAGAGAGTAGTATAGTTGAAATTAACAGTTTTTTAGATTCTCTTGATTTACCAGTACTGAATGAAGAACAGAATAAAACTTTGATTGAAGATATAACAGAAAAGGAACTAAGAATAGCAATAAGGAGCTAAAAGAAGAATTAATACCAGTGATGCTTCTCACAATGAATTGGGTCTTAAAGAAGGCTCAAGTACCTTCTAGCTGGAAAGAAGCAATTATCTCTGCTATCCCAAAAGAAAAGATAAATTAGAATGTGCGTCATATAGACCAATATCTGTTCTTAATACAGATTACAAGCTGTTTACATTTATCATGGCTAGACGATTAGAAAAGTTCTTACTAGTTCTAATTCATAATGATCAAACAGGTTTTATTCGAGAGCGCCAAATACAAGATAGAGGACGGCGGACACTACGAATTATTAACCATATTCGACAGAATAAAGTAGAAGCAATGGTAATCAGTATCGATTCAGCATTCGATTCAGTTAATTGGAACTTTCTTTATGGAGTCTTGCGTAGATTTGGCTTGCATGAAATAATAATTAAGACAATACAGGCACTTTATGATAACCCTATGGCAAGGATTAAAATTAATGGCTACCTATCAAATAGTATTAAGCTGCAAAGAGGAACAAGGCAGGGCTGTGCGTGCTCACCATTATTATTCACGTTATATCTGGAACCATTGGTTCACTATATAAGGCAAAACAAAGAAGTAGAAGATATTAATATCCATGAGAAGGAGCATAAATTAGCCTGCTATGCAGATGATATTTTAATATTTTTGGGTCAACCATCAAACTCTTTACCTAAATTAATGCAATCATTTGAATACTTTGGTCGACTATCTGGATATAGGGTTAATATGAGTAAAACACAATTGCTTAAGTACAACTATATTCCATCAGAAGAAATTAAAAATAAGTATCAATTAGCATTAAAAAACGCAGGCCATTTTTTGATTTTGACGGTGTTAACTACTAGAAGACTAGAGGAAATATTAGTTATATTAATGGAAACAAAAACACACTCCTTACATGCCTTTTTATTTTTTTTTTTCTTTCTTTCTTTTTTCTCTTTTTCTTTCTTTTTTCTTTTTCTTCTTTCATTCCTTTTGTATGGATATTTTAGTTGTTTAAATACAGAAAAAAGAAAAATACATGTAGTGACAAATTGTTGAAGTTGATGGTATGGTACAGTGATTCCTAAATGTCAATTTAAAAAAATAATAATAAAAAAAATACGCATTTTATTTCAGTTTAAACCTTTTGCAAACATGTATGAGATTTTTGACGGGTTCCAGTCTCACTTTAAAGAACAGTATTATGCTGTATTCTGTCTTGTTCTCTATGAAACATGTTTAAATGGAATCTTAGAAATTGAATTCAGATCTATGAAAGTGAATATAAATAAGTCTGCTTTCTGATTTTTCTATAATGGGCTCTGTGTTACAGTGGTGACTTACACTTCTACTCAGGTCTGCGCCTTCAAAGGATCAACAGCAGAAATACACTCCAAATTCAGATACCTATCGACTATAAATGACATAAAGACAAGAATCCAGAAAATGTTCTGGTTTACTACAGTCAAAGATAATGAGCCTGTGGACCTGAAAACAGATCCAGAGTATTCAGGTCGAGTTCAGTATCAGTGTGAAAACAACGACTGCACTCTGAGAATCTCAGACCTGAGAGAGAGCGACTCAGCTGAGCACAAGTTCATGCTCATAACAAACGATCCAGGAGGGAAATATACTGGATCACCTGGAGTCACTTTGACTGTTACAGGTAAAACAATATTTGACTGGAATTCACTTTAAACATTTCCATGTGTATCTGTGCAGATGTTGAGATATTTCTGATATAATGTCATTGTTTTTTTTACTCCCAGATCCACAGCTCCAGGTACATGTGAGGAGATCAACAGTAAACTCTTATTCTAACTGGACAGAGCTGACATGTCACAACAACTGTCAGCTACCTGATCAATCTTCCTACATCTGGTACAGGAATGGACACAAACTTTCATCAGAAAAACAATATTTACAGCTGAACACATTTGATACTGTAGACAGTCTTTACTGTGCTGTGAAAGGATATGAGCCATTCCCTTCTCCAACAGTGTGTGAGTTCACTACTTTTTGTTTCATTAAGGAATTATATTGAATTTTTCTTTATTTACGGGAATGTGTTTGTATGCTACTTTAGTCAAAATCCTTTCTTTTAGGGGGTTTACAATGTTTTCTTTTTAGAATATAAATTTTTTAAATTTGTTTTTTTATGACCATGTCGTCATTCTTATGTTTCCTCCTCCAGATGCTCCAAAGCTTCCCTCTGTGTCAGTGAGTCCCTCTGCTGAGATAGTGGAGGGCAGTTCAGTCACTCTGACCTGTAGCAGTGATGCTAACCCAGCAGCTAGTTACACCTGGTACAAGGAGGATGTCATCAACCCTCTCAGTTACCAAAACCAACATGTTTTCAGCTCCATCCTGCTCTCTGACTCTGGAAAGTATTACTGTACAGCTGATAATGACCTGGGACAAAAGAGATCTGAAAGCAGAATTATTGATGTGAAATGTGAGTAAAATACATTTATAAGCTTTAAATTCTTTGATCTCGATTAACAGTTAACATCAACTTTAGAGATAAGACTTAATTCATCATCATGAAGAGTGAAAACAGATTTACTGCACAATCATGTCTGTTTATTACAACATATAAGAAGTTTGACAAAGAAATAGGAAGATTTCTAACATATTATTATTTTATAATTTTTGTTGTGAGAAGCCTGCAAAGACTTGAGTATATTTATAACCAACCATGTTGTCATTCTTATGTTTCCTCCTCCAGATGCTCCTAAGCTTCCCTCTGTGTCAGTGAGTCCCTCTGCTGAGATAGTGGAGGGCAGTTCAGTCACTCTGACCTGTAGCAGTGATGCTAACCCAGCAGCTAATTACACCTGGTACAAGGAGGATGTCATCAACCCTCTCAGTTACCAAAACCAACATGTTTTCAGCTCCATCCTGCTCTCTGACTCTGGAAAGTATTACTGTACAGCTGATAATGACCTGGGACAAAAGAGATCTGAAAGCAGAATTATTGATGTGAAATGTGAGTAAAATACATTTATAAGCTTTAAATTCTTTGATCTCGATTAAACAGTTAACATCAACTTTAGAGATAAGACTTAATTCATCATCATGAAGAGTGAAAACAGATTTACTGCACAATCATGTCTGTTTATCACAATATAAGAAGTTTGACAAGGAAATAAGAAGGTTTCTGAATATTACCTTTTATAATTTTTGTAGCGTTGTGACAAGCTTGCAAAGACTTGAGTATATTTATAACCAACCATGTTGTCATTGTCCTTATTTCTCCTCCAGATGCTCCAAAGCTTCCCTCTGTGTCAGTGAGTCCCTCTGCTGAGATAGTGGAGGGCAGTTCAGTCACTCTGACCTGTAGCAGTGATGCTAACCCAGCAGCTAACTACACCTGGTACAAGGAGGATGAAAATTTACCAAAAGCATTTGGACAGAACTTCACCGTCACCAAGTTCAGACCTGAACACAGTGGGCGTTATTACTGTGAAGCCCAGAACAAGCTGGGACGTCATAACTCCACCTTACAGCAGACCATTGTGCCAGGTAATCATTTATATTTACATACTGGATACACTCAGAAAGGAGTGCAGTCAAAAAGTCAGGCACAATCTACATTCATGCACTATGTCTAATTATTGGATGGCACTAGAATTTATAATAACAGATCACTGTCAAAATACCTCAGCACAGATAGAACTGTATTGCTACCTAAATGCACACATGTACAAGTATTTATTTTGCCAAAATGTTTCCCCTTCAGTGTTGTATGGACTCATAGTGTTGCTACAGATAATTAAACCAGAGCTGATTTTTAAAAACTTTGCTCTTTTGAATCTACACTAATCCATCATCATCTTTAAAAGCATATGTTTGTATGGTGCCTGTCCTGTGAGGGCCAAATATCTCAAAATAATCATTAATGAGTTCAGAAAACCAGGCCTGCAACTTGATTTACAAAGATAATTTAAATATATTAAAAAGAAAATACCAGCTGCACCTGTAACTGTTCAACTTGCCTGTGTAGTTAAACAGAATATGGCAGGAGTCCCACTGTCTGCTGTCAAGGCTTTCCTTATTCATGTGCTAAAGAGTCCTAAGAATCAACATTGTAACTTATCTATCACGATGACAAGAACCATGTTTATTGCTAATGCTAGTCCTGTTTCCATGCAAAAAGCAGATTGTAACTGATCTCAGAATACTGAAAGCAGAGCCAGTGACATTTTAACCTCCTGTTAAAAACCAGGGATTTATCCATAATGCCCATGTGCACCCAGCCAGATAAAGCTGCAGGCCACTCAGCTTGAAGTGATTTTTAATCGAATGCAGACGAGGCTATGAAATTAAGATGTGCTACAGTTTTCAGTGGAATAAGGGGCGCGCCCAGTTAACCCTGTTTTCAGAGACAATAGCCAACTGCTGCCACTGTAAAGAATGAATGTTTATTGTAGGCTTTTTACTTTACAGTATAAAGTGCATTTAGACAACTGAAATGAGACCTCTAAAAGTTGATTCTGTTCATCTGGACGCAGCGTTTTGTGGGAGAAATGTTTCGTCACTCATCCAGTGACTTCTTCAGTCTCAGCTGACTGCAGGTTTCCCCAATCTTATAAACAGTACATTTGCATAATGACTGAAACCAGCCCACTGAAGGAACAATGGGCTGGGAGGTCAGTTCCTTAATCATAATTATGCAAATTCTCATGACCATTAATCAGCAACCACTGACCAAAATCAGCTTTTAGATGTCCCCCATTACTGATGGAAATCTCACAGTCTAAGAAGGCTAACCTGCCACTTTTCATATCCTCCCTGGTGAATTTGATGTGTCGGTCCACCGAGTTAATGTGATCCGTGAAATGTGGTACGTCCTGAGATTTGATTTTCACCCAGGTGTCATCCACATATCTGAACCAATGGCTTGGTGGTGTTCCAGGGTAGGATAGCAAAGCCCTCTTTTCCACTTCTTCCATGTACAAATTGGCCACGATGGGTGAAACTGGGGAGCCCATGGCACACCCATGTTTCTGCCTGTAGAACTGACCCTTGTAAAGTAGGAATGAAAACACAGTTCCAAAAGCAAACACCCTTGGTCGATGCTGAGAGGGGTCCTGTTGCTGAGGTTGGTGTCATCCTGTAATCTCTTACAGACTACCTCCAACGCTTCCGGGACTGGGATGCAAGTGAAGAGAGATGTAACGTCGTAAGAGACCATGGTTTCATCTGCCTCCATAATGACATCTCTCACCTTCTCAACACAATCCAGGGTGTTCTGGATGTGGTGTACAGAGCTGCAAATCTTAATTTACATACGGGAACTGACCTCCCAGCCCATTGTTCCTTCAGTGGGCTGGTTTCAGTCATTATGCAAATGTACTGTTTGTGGGATTGGGGAAACCTGCAGTCAGCTGAGACTGAAGAAGTCACCTGGATGAGTGACGAAACATTTCTCCCACAAAACGCTACGTCCAGATTAACAGAATCAACTTTTGGAGATTTACTTTCCTGGGTGATTAAGAATGCATCAAGACGAAACTGACATGAGAGAAACTTTATGATAAAACACTGTTTGAGATTAACAGAGTGAGGTCACGTTACTCTGGTGTGTTTAAGTAGATTTCTATTTTTATTTTTCACTGGAGAAGAACTTGGCTTCTGTAGCCTAAAACTCCAACACTGTTCAGGCCATACACAGGTCGAACGTTATGGAATACTGAATTAACTATTAGTGCTTTACTTTGATCTTGATCAGGAGCAAAGAAAATAAAAGCTGCTGGAGTAACTGCTGCTGTTCTCCTGTCTGTCACATCCCTCCCTGTCTTCCTTTGGATTCGGTGAGCAGATCTGTCGCATTAAACTTTTAATTTTCAGTCATTTGTGTTGTTCTTTTGTTCATTATCATTTCACTCCTCAGAAAAAAGAGGAATTCCAAGGAATCATCCAAGACTGAAGGCAGAGCAGACAACAAAGAACAGGTGAAACCAGAAATATAATTGCAGTAAAAAAAATCATCATTCACCATTCTAATCTAAGATCATTTTTTTCTATGCAGTGTCTCTCTGATCAGGAGGAGCCACAGGAACAGGATGATCTTCAGTATGCCAGCATCCACTTCTCTAAAAACCAGGCAGATCCTCTCTACAGCGTCAGTTCAGCCCCACAGACACCTGGAGGAACAGGAAGTTACACTTAAAAACTGAAAACTATTTGAATGAAAGAGTCCAGGCAACTAATCAGTCTTCCTAGATTGTATCACATCATCTCAACAAGAATAAATGTAACAAAGTTGTTGAACTTCATGCAGATCGTACATGATTTAATTACGCTCACCACAGAAACATAAATTTTTTTTTTTTTTCAAATTACAAGTTTGACTCTTGTTAATATAAAAACCACCTACTTTCACTTTTTTGAGTTTACTGTGTTACACCGCTGTTAAATTAAATTAAAAAGTACAGCCCTGTGGTGAGCAGCTCCTCACATAATACAATGAGCCTCGCTAGAAGATTCAAATGAATATCTGGGAAATGCATTGCCTGCTTTAGCATTCTTCTTCTGTTTTTAAGCTTGTTTTTTTTCACCATCATAATATAATTTCATGCTACATACTCAGAATCAACTAATTTCTGGTCAACAAAGCCATAATTCCCATTAGCAGAAAGAAGCTGCATCATGGGAGGTTTGGTCTGTTCACTCAGTGAGCATCATAATTTAGCCAGCATGGTGGCTACTGGAGCTAGTTCTCTAGTTCTTTTGCTGCTCTTTTTCTTTCCTTATCACTTGTAGAAAAATACACGTATGTGATCAAACATGATTATCATAGTATGTTTTCTGATGTTTGATATCCTGATGTATTATTATCATGATTGCATTTATTTGATAAACTATCAACTTTTTTAACAAACAATTAAATAACACCTGATTTTTCAGTAATCTTAACACTTCATCAGAGTGATATAAGATAGGTTTCTCTATATAAGGCTACGTCCACACGTACACGGGTATTTTTGAAAATGGAGATTTTCCGTTTTCGTTTTAAAAAATAATCCCGTCCACATGTAAACGCAGAAATGAAGGAAAACGCTGCTAGGAACATGCCAAAGCAACAGGTGGCGATATATTCCTAACCGTGTAGAAATGTTGGCCAATCAGAAGTCTAGAAGCCTCGGTGGGAAAAAGTAAACAAAGCTGGGGCATAGAAGCAGAACCGAGTCGTATGTGTGGAGGGACAGTAACTGTGTGTGTATATGTAAGCATTTAAACACTGCAGAGAGTACAATTAACAGTAATAGTATTGTAGAAATTCATTTCACCGAAACAATAACGTGGCGCACAGTGTGACGTCAAAAAATGCGCACACCTTTGACGCTGCGTTTTCTCAGTTTTTCTCGTCCACACGTAAACGCAAAAACTGAGTTTTCAAAAATATCCACCCTGGCAGGAGATTTTAAAAATCTCCGTTTTCAGTGACCAAAACGCCGTTTACGTGTGGACGAAAGGTCCAAACGCATAGAAAAATCTGCGTTTTCAAAAATACCCGGGTACGTGTGGACGTAGCCTAAGAATACACAGAAGCAGAAACAATACATTTTGTTTGAAGTAAATATTATAATTAATCATCTTATAGAAGTTATATATGTTGGTACACTATGTAGATTATAGGACAAAGAAGCAGTTGTCAAGGACGAGTTCGGTTATATATACACAGATATACATACGTTACAATTACTTTAGTATGATGGGATTTCAGAGAAACTGTTCAAGTTGCTGTTTCTATCAGGAGAGGAGAGAGAAGAAGCCAGAGCAGAAGTGAGGTGTAAATTGTGCAGTAATATTAAGCTCTTGGTGTATTCCATTGAGAAACAGTGAGTGCGAATTAGACTGACCAGAGTTCTTTAGGGCAGGAGAGGGTGGCAAGTGAGTATTGCAGGTAAGTATCCAAATATAACAAAGAATGCACACTTGCACTGCAGAGCCAGGGGTGCATATTAATGTTGTGAACAGAAAGGATGTCTAGTTTCACTGACCTGATTTCCACAATTTGACCACAGCAGAAAGTGATCACATAAAGTAGAACGTTCTGAGTGAAACATCTTCTACTCTTCTGTATTTTCTTCTGCTTATTCAACAGACTTTACTAACATGTGGACCCTGAACATTTTATTCTGCATGTTAACTCTGTGTAACTCTGGGCTTCTTGTTGATTCAAAGTGCTGCTGTTTTAAAAAGAGGAAGTTTTTTTGATGATTGGCCCTGAGATATCCAGGAATGTTCACAGGATTCAAACCATCAATAATCCAGATCTTCCCAAATGTGATGGCCAAACCCATGGCCACACTCTAAAGTCAGTAACTCTTGTATTTTCATTTCTTCATTTCAACACAGTAACACACTTTAGTTTCCAATAACTTTATTGATTGGTTTGGATACATTTGTTCTATTTCTAAGGGTGCACATTTAGTTTGCTTATGTATTCATACCACTTCATTAGTTTGATTTTTGACTAACCTTTGTCAAAAAAGGTTTAGGTTTAAGTGGTTTTTGATTTTCTTCTTTGGTGTTTAGTTTATTAACAAACCAGACGATACTGCACTGTTTGTTATTTACAATTGTGTTTTATTTAGTTATCCCTTGTGTGTCACTATGGTCTGATCAGCCATTATATATACCCTTGTGTGTCATTTCATGTTTAGGTCAGTTATGTTTGTTTGGGCAGTCATTAGAGTTGGATGTCTTGACGCCGGTCTTGATCTCGAGACCACTTTTACGTGGTCTTAGTCTTGTCCTGGTCTCGATGGACTAGTACCAAAGAGGAACTGCACATCAGCCGTGTGGGAATATTTTGGGTTTAAAAGAGATGATGTCGCACAGAGTCAGGTACTGTGTAAAACCTGTCTTGGTAGAGTTTCTACATCTCGGGGAAACACTACGAATTTGTACCAGCACCTTAAGACTCGGCACAAAACAGAGTATGGTAGATGTATGGCTAAAAAATCTAGTAGTGTGCAGAATAAACCTAGTAACGTTACTCGGCAAGGATCACTGACCGAACTGTTT